ATATGTTATTACCGAATACTTTTTCCCAGTCAGTGGCTTCCCTTTTTACCCTACTGGAGAAGTTTTTGGATGTGCATAGGGATTTGAGTCTTAGAATCATTTGTATATTTGTCTTTGACATTAGGAGACAATCCACATTGCAGAAACAAGAAAATTTACTGCTAACCCTCAGTAATTTGCCCCCTTGACATGTCACTTTGAATTCCTAGCCTAATCCTTGGCTTACTTGTTCAATTTGATGACAAATTTGACGCCCTTTTTCTGTATATATAATTGATAGAAACCATGAACAAATCCTATGTGTTTACCTTTTGAGTCTAAAGCTTCCTGAAATTCATCTTGCCTTATAAGAGGTGACTACTCTTTGCAATCTTCAGTGAGAATATTTTAGTAATTCAATGGAGGGAGGTGGGGAAAGATGTGTTTCACTGACCTGGATCCACGGGATTTGCAGTGCTATTTCTTAACCAGTAGACCACCAAGCTCCAGACCCAAGGGATTTAAAGGCCAGATGTTTCATTAACTCACCAGAAAGCTGTGAAGGATTTTGTTTTGAAGGAAAGAAGGCAGAAAAAAGAAGTGTGTTCCATTCTAAAAGTATTTGAATATTTTTTGTCTTTGCATTCTTCTAATAATTTATATTGGTTTTGATATAATACATTTATAGTATATTTTATTCATATACAATGTTTTATACAATCTTTCATTTACATTGAATCTCATCCAATCATTCATAGGCATTATACTTTACATTATTTTTCATACTAGTTTATTTACAAAATTCACATACATTGTTTGTGAAAACAGATCCTTCCCATTTCCCTCACCACCCTCATCAAATTGTATGACCCCATGACTAGTTCTCCCACTCTCCATCCCCATACACACATACACACACATCCTCACCCGTCCGCTTCCACCCTCAAATTTCCCTTTTTCCCTCATATTCTACAGTAATCGTTTTATGCACTATTTGGCCTTGTGGGCTGAGTTAGTTCACTGTTAATAATGCTCTTCAGTTCCTCTCAAGTTAGGGAATATGATGTTAATGAACTGAAATAAAACTCGGTCAAGGGAAAGTTGAGTTTATCCAAGATTGGACCTTAAGAAGTCTAGCTTCCTGCTGAATATGAGTCACCACTGGCTAAAGGTTTCGACTGGCTGATTAAACAAAAAAGGCCAGTCGTGGTGGAAGAATCCTCCGATCAACTCCACGCTAAAACCATGAGCCACACTGTGTTCCACACTGCCATGGAACCGATTTGGTCTCACGGTGACCCTAAAGAACGGAACGAATATGCAAAAGCCCTGGTGAAGCCCTGCTCTCATAAAATATACATGCTAGAGGTTGTGCTGGAAAATAAAAGCATAAAGAAAACAAAAGGGCAGTATTTATTAACAGCTGTGGGTGGTAAGGGCATTTCAATGAACAATTCTTTTAAATGCGACTACACCATGTACACAAAGGTGGGTCGCTGAAAAGCTAGAAGTTCTTCTAGCTTAATGGCTGTTGACCAGGGTGGGATGGGCAGGGTTCTGCCGCCAGTGTGAACTGCTGCATGCAAACCCTCTCTCAACCCAAACTGTCCGCTCCCAGAGCCCCTTCTACAGAAAGCCTTGTGTCACCCCCGACTAGTGGGGACCCTGCCTAAAAGCGAAATAAATTCATAAACTAACACGAACAACGAGGGTCTGCGAGATTAGAAGAAACCTTCTTTTAGAGTAAAACAACGTTTAACGCGTGTTTATGCCCCGGGACTTTAGAAGGCAGAAGCTTCTCGCTCCCAGAAAGGGCCCAGCGGCCCTGCCTGTGCTGCCAGCGGGCGAAAGAGCTGCGGGAGGGGAGGGCCCTCGCCGGGGAATGGACACCCAGTCACGTTCATCCTGGTGAGTCAGGAGCAGACCAAAACCAGCCCGCCGCCATCCCGGAAATTCACACTCAGAGCGACTAACAGTAGCGACTAACAAAGGCGACCTCCTGTATAAAAGGGGGTGCAGCGCGCGGGGTCCCCGCTGCCGAGGTGCGCACCCAGACCTCGCGGCTGCCCTGTACCTCACTCCCTTCTCGCGAAGTTCGCCCTCAGGACCTGCACTTTGACCCTGCTCGCCCTCAGTACCTGCACTTTGACCCTGCCCGCCCTCAGTACCTGTGCTCTGACCCTGCCCGCCCTCAGTACCTGCGCTCTGTCCCTTCCTTGGCCATGTCCCTGCTGCCCCTTTGTGTCCTTGTGCTCCTCTCCTTGGAGCCGTCGTGGCTCCTCCTCCTGGATGCACGAACTCAATACTGGCCGCCTGACCCGGACCTCATGACCTCTGATGCCCCGGAAGCGGACACACCCATCTCTCCGTCTGCTGCCTATCAACCTCCTGACCCTGCTGACCCTGATCATGCTGCTGACCATGAACAACCTGGTAACCTTGACCCACGTCCTGACCTTGATTACCCTGCTGACCCTGACCACTCTCCTGACCCTTTCGAACCCGGTGACCCCGGTTACCGTCCTGACCTTGCTCACCTTCCTGAATTGCCCCGGAGACTAACAGCCCTGCCCCAGCCGGGGGATTGGGGGGACAAGGAGTCTCTGGCATCGCGCCCGTTTTTGGCCGGGTCTCAGGGGGTCCCGCCTTCGGCGCCAAGGCCTCCTCCGAGGTCTCAACAAGAACTAGAAGACAACCGGCCGCTTCCAGTAAAAAGTAAGGTAGGAATTCCTGTGGGAAATCGGGCCCCAGGCCACGAGGCATGGAGACTCTCGCTCCCAACTATCTATGGTCACGGCTCCACACCCGCGGACTTTATTGTTCCCTCGCTGAAGGGAAACAAGCATGTAGCTGGGAAAACCTCACTACATAAGGGAGTTGTAGGACCCGCTCGAGTCCAGCAAGAGGCTCCAGGGTCCCCCCACGGATCCTCTGACGGGAGAGAATCTTTAGCACTGCCTCTCCAGCCTCAGCAAGAGGTTAAAGCATCTCCAGCTGAGAAAGAGTTCCACTTTCCAGGCTTTCCTGGGAAAAGTGAACCTTCTCCTATCCAGCAGGAGGCCCCTGCTCAGTATCCTACAGAGACTGAACAGTCTCCAGTCGATCTGGAAACCCCATTACGGCCTCTAGAAACTGCTGAGGAAGCTGGATCATCTGTAACTTTGCAGCAGCCCCCACTTCAACCTGTAGAGTTTCCTACAGAAGTTGGAATTGGTACACTCCAACAAGATAATCTAAGAAAACCTACCAATTCCATGGACATGTCACTTTATTCAGGCCAGAAGGACGTCTCAGCCCAGCCTCCAGAGCCACCTGAGGAGGCTGAGTCACTTTCAAATATTAAGGAGAGGCCGGCAGAGTCTTCTGAGTCACATAATAAGGTTGTGGGTCATCATCAGGTGACAGTGTCACTTAAAAAGACACATGAAGCTCAGCAATCACCTTTGCCCGCTGCCAAAGCTGGCCTGGATCTGGGCCTTACTATAAGTCCACGACCAACTACAAATGTTAGATCGCCTGCAACCCAGGTAAAGGTTGCTTTACCAACTGAAGAGCTCCCCAAAGAGGATCAGTCTTCTCCAGCTCAGCAGGGGCTCCTGGGTCAGTCTCCCGAGCTCCCCATGCCTATTGAAATCCCCCTATCTCCGCCAGAAGGCCCATCCCAGGGTCCAGAGGAAGTTCAATCCTCAGTCCAGCAGGAGGGTCTTGGTCCCTCTCAGGAAGCCCCCGTGACTGCTAAACCATTTTTGGTGCATCCAAAGGTCCTAGTTGTACCTTTAGAGCCTCCTAAGGAGATAGAGCCTTCTCCAGGTCAAGGCAAACCCGCAGCTCTACCTCTGGAGCCCATTGAGATGACTCAACCATCTCGGGAACAGCAGACAGCCAGTGAGCCATCTTTAGGAACCCCTATGGAAGTGGACACGTCGTCATTTCAAGAGTTCCCAGCTCAGGCTCCTGAGCCTTCTAAGATTGAAGTGTTACCGTTCCCGCAGGGGACTCCTCAGCAATTGAGTGAACCCCCTAGTAAGGGAGACTCTTCAGTGAACCACGGAACACAGACTTCAGAGCCTCATGTGGCGGAATCTTTGAGCTCACAGGCAGCCCCAAGTCAACCTTTGAAGCCCCCAAAGGAGGGTGCAGCACAGCCTCCAGGCCCTCATGCGGTTTCATTACCGGATGAATATCAGGGTCAGCCTGTAAACAGGCCTGGTGTTACAGCTCACCCTTTGCACCTGGATCATGTCATGATACTTCCCACAGGCCCTCATCTTCCTGAGAGTGAGCATCCCACAGTCCCGCCACAGAACACAGTGCCTTCAGATATTCCTGGAAAGACCAATGAACAATCACACCACTTTCTTAGTACAGATTTGAGTGGTGTCTCAGCTCGATCTTTGGAGATGGAGCATACTGTAACACCTGGTCATATTACCACTACGGTAGAATATTCTACTGCCCAGCAAAGAACCACCCCTCCTTCAAAGTACCTCGAGGTCACATTTCTGTATCCAGAGCAGGTCCAGGCTCAGCAGCCAATCCAGACCAAGGTCACGGATCAACCAGTGAACCTCGATAGTAAGGAACACAATATGGAGGTTGAGCTTTCTCCAACCAAACAAGTGACACCAACTCAGCCTCCAGCGCTTCAAGAAATTGCGGCTAATTCTCTGAGCCATGAAATGACAGCTCCACCATCAGATCAGGCTCAAAATAAACATCAAGGCACACCCAGCATCATAAACCCAGACACAAATACAGTCAGTGCACATGGTCCAACAATCCAGGAGACTCCAACTCGGACTCTATCTCAGACTCCAGAGCCTCCTCAGGCTGCTGTGCTTGCATTTCTAACAATGCAGGGCCTTTCTGACATGGCAGAATCTAGGACAACTCAACAGCCAGCCTCAGTTACACCGCGAAGTCAAGAAAAACTTCTCCATTCAAAGGTGCCTAGTGTCACCGTTCCATCTTCTACCGAGGCGATTACCCTATCTCCAGAGCCTGGAGCAGAGGAAGAGTCTTCTCCAACTGGGCAGGAGACACAAACTCAATCTTTAGAACCACCAGAGGAGGGTGTAAGTCAATCTCCAGGATATAATGAGACAGGTCAGGGCCAAGCTCAGAATTCACAAATACCTGATGTCACATTTAGACTTACAGACCTGAATTCACAAATACCTGATGTCACATTTAGACTTACAGACCTGGAGATAACTGAAACTCAATTTACCTCAGAAACTGAACGTTCCACTGCCCTGCAGAAAACCACAACTCCTCAGTTTACCAAAGCTTTAGAATCCAATACAGAACCTAAACTTTCTACAAACCTGCCAAAGACTGATTTTTCACCAATGCAAGTTAGAGGTCAACTAGTGGACCAAGAAGTTACCATGACTCAACATCCAGCATCAACAGAGGCAGCTGGCACTTCTCCAGTGACTCAGCATTCTTTAAAATCCACCCCAGAAAGGGAGCTCAGAATTACAACAGTGCCACCAAAACATCGTGCCACCCGCAGAAATATCATAGACATTTGTCAGCTCTGTGTCTGCCAAAATGAAACGTTGTCCTGTACTGGCCTTCCCAAAGACAAAATGCTCCACAGAGTGCCTATGCCAAAGCCCAACACATACAATGGCACCTTCACTGTCTTGTAAGTATTCCTTCCTTTGTTGGTTCTCTGCACCCTGCTGACATGACAGCCCTTTGCCTTGAGGACTTCCTGGCTTCCTGATTTTTCCAACCCACACTGAACCACTTCTATATTTATTGTATGTTTTTCATTATCCTCATTTTTCACTTTACTATTCTCTCCAGTTCTCCAGTCTCTTTCTTTTGATTGCTCTTAGAGTTTTTCTATAGCTTTTGGTGAAAGTTTACACAGCAAACTAGTTCCCATTCAATAATCAATCTCTATTTAGATTTGTGACAAAAGTAGCTGCAGTCCTCTCCAGGTTGCAACACTCTTCACACTTCCTCCCTGGGGTCCCTGCTCCCATTTGCCCATCTTTCCTGCCCCTTCTGACTTCTGAATTTTCTTGTGGGGTAAATGTTGCCTTTTTTGGTCTTGCATGGGTGATTCTCTTCACGGTGCTGAGGAACACATTCCTCATGGTGTTTTTGTTCACTATAGGCCTGTATGCAGTTTGGGTGAAAGGAGTTTAGCCTGAGGTTTGACAGGTGTCTAAGGACCATTCTTTTTTTTTTTTCCCCTAAGGACCATTCTTGAGGATTACACCCATCTCTTTTCAGACCAATAAAGCTGGTCTTTTTGAAGAGAATTTATAAATTTGTTTCACATTTTTCTCCCACACTGTCCACTGTCTTGTGATATGAATCACAGGAGTCAGAAATGGTCTCCAGGCACTATGAGATTCTTCCCTTTTCAGGCTGGAAGAGGCTGTTGGTTCATGCCCTTGATCCTGTTGCTTCATGCAATTTTGTTTCATCTTCTTTACAGGATCATGTTCCTTTTCCCATCTCACTGAAAATGATAAAACAAAGTGGTTAAGAAGAGAGATTCTAGTGAAAAACTGCTGAGATTTGAACTCAGCTCTATGATTCCATTTCCTCATCCATATGTGGAATTGCCATCTCAGCAGATTGACTGGAGATTGAGACAGATTTCATTTTTGAAAGTCAGGTACATGACTGTTACGACTAGCACCTGTGAGGAGCCCAATACAAGGCTGGGTGCTGTAGGAGTCCCACAAGTTTAAGACATGACCTTAGGAGCTTAAAACTGATAGATGGGATGTAAGGAATATAAACAGAAAAGGAAGTTTTAAAAGACATACAGACTATTAAGAGTTGAAATTCAGTAGACTCTATAATCACCTAGAAAGCTATGTGGACTTTTAAAACTTTACCTTAAAGAGTGACTCACTCACTCATTGATTGAGATAGGAACTAACTCACAGCAGACCTTCCATGCGACATCTGTGACTGTGTACTACACAGAAAGAGACTTCCCATCTTTCTCCCTCAGGAGCCACTGATAGATTCGAACTGTCAGAGAGATGTGGCTTTGGGTTAGCAATGCAGCTCATTAAGGATTTGGCCATTAGTGCTCCCTAAAAGAGTGATTTGTACTGCTGTTGTTAAGTAAGCTACAGTCAGAACCGACTCATAGCTGAACACCTATCGGGTTTACAGAGGCTGCAAATGGCACAGGAGGAGATTACCCATCTTTCTCCCTCAGAGCAGCTGGTGGATTCGAACCACAATCATTTGAGTTGGCAGTGCAACTCTTAGCAATAAGACACCAGAGGTCCCCCCAAAAGGCCTCCGTAGTGTTGTTAACGATTGAGTCAGAACCGACCCATAGCTGACCATCCAGTGGATTTTCAGAGGCAGTTAATCACAAGAGCGCAAACTGCCCATCTTTCTCCTGTGGAGCAGGAGATCTGTACCACGTCCCTTCAGAATTGGAGTACAGATTCTTACAACTAGACCGCCAGAAATCCAGCAACAGAGGTTTTTAAATTACATCGTCAGATGTAAGAACTAATTAAATTTCAAGGGAGCAAGAAGAATGATTCAAACAGGAGGGTTATTTTAGAATCCATGTGTAAAGCCATCTAAGAGGAAAACTTGATTTGGGTAGACTAAATAGAAAGCTCTAGCAAGCCCTTGGAGGAAGAAGGTGGGAGGGGCCTGAAGCGGAGTGGTTGAAATGGGAATAGCAGGGGAATCCTGGGAGCACTGCATGGCAAAGGAGGACAGGATGGAGTGTTGACTAGAGAGTTGGGGAAGGAGTGTGCAGGAACGTGGAAAACCCAGTCATGACTCCAGAGTCTGTGTCTGAATGATTAGGAGAATGATGGTGGTAGAGCACACAGAGGGAAACTCAACAGTCAGGAAGGAGAGCCGTCTGAGGAGGACGCATGAGATTTAGGCATCTTGTATTCCTGAGCGTAAAGCAACTGAAAGACGTGATTGGACAGAAACATCCGTTAGGCAGGTGGAAAGGCAAAGTAAGTGTTTTGACTTTATTTCAAATGCCACCTATTTGGCGGTATAAAAGGAATAGGTAAGATGTTGCTGAGGGAAGGGAACAGAGTCAAAGGTAAGGAATCAAATCGGCTGTAGGCTTAATGACTGGCCCTGAACCTCAAGAGTTTAACAACTTACTGGAAACACATGGCATTTGTGGATTCCCTTCCACAGTGTATTACTTATTAAAAAGGTATCACAGATGGATTTAGGATGACAGGGAACGTTCCTCCCACCCTTCCCCTTTCACCCTTCTGGCTCTCACTGGTAATGTACTTCCTGCTGCCTGTATAGTCTATAGGCTTCCTTCTAATCTTTTCCTGTTTAATCTGTATACATATATCCATGCTGATCTGGTTTTTTTCTTTCCAATGGGTAAATCTGTTGTTTCTTTTTTCTTATTTAGTGATTACCATTGGTGCCTTGAATGTCAAGTTTTCCCCCCAAACCTGGAAGGATTTCTATAGGTCTTCAGACAAAACTGTGGTGTTACCTGTCATCTCTTTTCTTTGTTCATAATTGCTGATAGTAACAAGAGAGAGGAAAATGGACAGATAGGAAGTTCAGGTCCTGAGGAGATGGCATCATGTGTGCCACTGCCTCTTAGAGGCTCTTGTTGCTGTTGTGAGGTGCCATCAAGTCAAGTATGACTCAAAGTGACCCTGTAAACAGATCTCACCTCTGTCCTGTCTTGTGACATTCTCAGCAACTCTCACATACTTGAGCTCACTGCCATAGTCACTGTGTCAGTCCATCTCTTTTGAGAGTAGAGTCATCCTCTCTTTCACTGACTCCCCACCTCTCTAAGCATGATGTCCCTCTAAAAGAAAAGTTGTTATTCTTTGTCTTGTGTGCCATTCAGTCAAAAGCAATCCACAGCTGACCCTCCAGTGGGTTTTCAGAGGCAGTTTAAAAGCACAAGAGGAGAGTGCCCATCCTTCTTCACCAGAGGAGAAGCTGGTGGATTTGAACCACACACCTTTGGGACTGAAGTGTGGCTTCTTGCCACTAGGCCACCAGGGCACCCAAGGACTGTTGTTAGGTGTTGCTGTGTCGAGTACAACTCAAAGTAAGTCTATTAACACATGACCTGATCCCAGCCCACTGCTGTAGTAACCATGTCAACCAACACATCTAGTCAGGGATCTTCCTTTTGGCTGCACTTTGGTATTTCTTTATGGTTTTCATTGTCCATTACACTTATTTGACTCATCCCTACCAATTAAAAAATATGAACTATGTTTCTTCACAGAAATTTCCAAGGAAATGCCATTTCTTACATTGATAAAAATGTTTGGAAGGCCTACCCATGGACTGAGAAACTGTGAGTACAACCTCTCCAAATAGAAATACAGAAAACTAACCTCATTGTTAACCCCATTGTAAGATCCTTCTTGGTCCAGGATTTTCAGGAAAACAAACAGATTCATCCTGGAGAGGGTTAAACTGGGTGGCTCCTTGGAGGCAAGGATTCTGAGGCTTTGTCTGACATATTTTCGACGTGTTGTAAGGAGGGACCGATCCTTGGAGAGGGACATCATGCTTGGTAGGGTGGAGGGACAGCGCAGGAGGGGAAGGCGCTCTAGGAGGTGGATTGATTCAGTGACTGGGGTAATCAGAATGGGTGTATCTGAGACAGTGCGACTGGCACAGGATAGAGCAGGGTTTAGGGCTGTTGTACATAGGGTCGCTATGACTGGCAATTGACTCGACGGCACATAACAACAACAACAACCACCACCACCACCTTTGGAAAAGGTATGTTTCCATTTTCCATACCCCAAGATGTCCTCCATTGATTGAAATTCTATGCTATTTTGAAAGTTTTAATTTGGTGTGATCTCTTTAAACTACTTAAGAGGCAATTTAAATTTTTCTTTAATTTTACAATCAATACAAATGTTATCAGTGCTTAAGTAAAATAACAGGCATGAGGAAAACCTTTTTTGCTCCCTATTCTTCGAGCTCTGAAGTTCTCCTTACCCAAGTTTGCTATATATCCTTCTCTGCTAGAGTCTCTGCACCTGTCTAAATCTATGTGACATGTGCATTTTTCATGTCTTTTTGTTTTTTAACGACAAGGATGCTTATCAGAGAGCTCTGTTTTCTGAGGGGTCCGTGGGAGTTTTTCTGCTAACATAGAGGCACAATCTCTGGTGGGGAGAATACACAAGGGACACTTTGGGAGACAGATTGGGAATCTCCTGTGTGATTTTCATCCTTGCAAATTTACTATAGGGGCAGGTCTGATTCCATGGCAATGAGTTGTGGGTTAGTTTTTTTCAGTAGATTTTAGCAGAGTTTTTGTTTTGTTTTGAGTTTGTTTCAGGGTTGTTTTGTTTGTTTTGAAGTTGGTTTGGGGGTTTTGGTTTTGTTGGGGTTTTTTTTCTTTTTTAATAGCTGAAAGTAACTGTCTCTTATCTATACGTTAAAAACATGATCTGATTACTTCCTAGGCCTGTGTATGAAATCCCCAAGGAGTAACTTCACTTTTCCAGGCACTTGGTTAATAAAATTCTTCCGATGACTTTCAGTCAATAAGAACAGTGTTCGTTTCAATCTAATATCTTTTGAACTTCCTAAGTTTAAGGAAGATTGTTATGTGCTGTCGAGCCACCTACGACTCATAGTAATCCAATATACTAGCTCTGAATCCTGCCCTATCATGAGCCAATTTCACTGACTCCACCACACCTACCTCTATTATGCCAGTTATTGTGTCAATCCATCTCATCCAGGGTCTTCCTTTCCTGCACTGTCCCTCCACCCTTCCAAGCACGATGACCTTCTCCAAGGACTGGTCCCTCCTGGTACCAGGTCCAAAATATGTGAGAAGGAGCTTCAAAATCCTGTATCCTTACACCTTCCCAATCTCCCTTAAAGAAGCATGTTGTTAAGTGCCATCAACTCTCAACTCATCAGTCTCTCAACTGATGTCACTGTTCTTCAGCACTCTGGAGAGGTCGCTAACAGCGGACTTCCTCAGTGCAACTCATCTTCTGATTTCCTGACTGCTGGTGCCAAGAGTTTTGATTGTGGAGTTGAGCAAGCTCAAATTGAAAACAACCGCAGTGTCTTCTCCATCCATTAGGCATTTGACTGTGTACATCACAGCAAATTGTGGCTAACCTTGAGAAGAACAGGAATCTCAGAACACTTGATTTTGCTCATGTGAGACCTATACTTGGACCAGGATCAAAACAAAGAAACATTGCATGTTTCAAAATTTGGAAAGGTGTGCATCAGGAATATATCCTGATGTGGAACAATCTATATGTGGAACAGATCATTCGAGACGCTGGGCTTTATGAGGAAGAGTGCGGTATCAAAATTGAAGGAAGAATCGCCAACCTGTATGATGCGGGTGATACAACCTTGCTTGCTGAAACCAAGGAGTATGTGAAGCATTTGCTGCAGGTCAAGGACTGTAGTCTTCAATATGAATTGAAACTAAACATCAAGAAGACAAAGATTTTCACCACTGGGCTGACTGGCAGCATGATAGATGGGGAAGAGATTGAGGTTATTAAAGAAACTGATATACATATAAATCTACACTTTCAACAAATTCAAACCTTCTGCCTTCTGCCTGCCTGGGTCTTTATGTTTAAACCTAGAAATTTACAACATGGAAAGGGGACCTGGCTGCCTTCTTTACTGTTCCCTTGCCCTGTATCCTGTACTCTTCCATTGAACCATTATATTCAAATAGTTGTCCCTGACTTCACTCAAGTTAGTGAGGAAAGTGTTGGGAAGGAAAGGGCTGATGCCCTCTGTAGAAATGCACTTGGGAATATGACCATTCCCATGACTGATTATTTACTTCTTGAATTTCTAAAAAATAATACAATCAAAGTTTGCAGCTGCTACTCCCTTCACCTGGTGGTGATACTTCTCTAACTTTTCTATCATGAAGATCCTTTAGGGGCCTTATGCAACTGTATTTTGCTAAGTTTTTCCTGCTGAGACGTTTATTTCTGGCAGGAATCCATACCGATAGGGCCCTTTTTTAAAAAAAAATCCATCCCATTTGCGAATATTATTTAGAAATTACTCACTTCATGTCCTCTAAATTAGTTTAGAATATGTAACTCATTCAGTTTGTGTAAAGTGTCATATAATCAAACAAACAAATCTGGTTATCACTGACAAACAGATTCGTGCTCCTGAGGAGCATTTTGGCCTCGATTCTTCCAAAATAAATGTATTTATTCTTTTGTCAATTTCTGGTAATATTCAGTATTCGTTGTCAACACTGCAATTCAAAGGCATCAGTTCTTCTTCAGTCTTCCTTATTGTCCAAATACAACATGCATATGAAGCAAGTAAAATACCAAAGCTTGGATCAGGCACATCTTGATATTTAAGCTGACATCATTTCTCTTTAGCAATGTAAAGAGATTCTTTCTTAATTTTATTGTAAATTATTTACAAAGTCTGAATACCTTTTCCCCCCCACAGAAGAATCTTTCCATTTCCTTCCCAACCCCCATCCATTGAATCGTGCTACCCTGTTAATCATAAAGAGATTCTTTATAGCAGATTTTCTCAATATATCATCTAATTTCTAGATGCTTTCCATGGATATTAATTATGTGCACAAGTAAAAAAATAATTTTACTTTAATATTTCCCCCTTCTGTCTTGTTTATTAGTACAGTTGTGAGTAGTTTTGTTCTCTTGATGTTGCAAAGGTGTAACCCATGCTCAAGGCTTTGATCTTCTTTCAAAAGTGTTTCAAAGCCTCCTCACTTTCAGCAAGCAAGGTTGTGTCGCCTGCATACTGCAGGTTGTTGTTAATGCATCTTCCTTTAATCCTTTTGCCACTTTCTTCTTCAAATAGCTCTTTCTTGGGTTATTTACTCAGAACACTGATGAGATAGGTATAGTGAAAGGATACAGTTCTGATGTACATCTGTTCTAATTTTAAAACACCCTTATTCTGTTTGAACAACTGTTTCTGGGTTTATGTACAGGTTCCACAAGAGCAGAATATTTGTCCTCACAAGCTGCCCTTTGAAATCTTCAGTTCTGCTCTCTCCATCATCATTGAAATATATTTGAGTAGACTTCATTTTTTTAGAATAGTTGTATGCTTACAGAGAAATTGGAAAGTGCAGAGGTTCCCAGGCACCACCTTCTTCCTGCACATCATGTCTCTTATAGACACCTTGTGTTCCTGCACATGTAAAATGCATGAATACATTTGAGGACTTAATGCTGATACATTAACTAAAGTGTCTGTTTTACATTAAGGTTCACTCTTGATGTTCTGCAGTCCTCGAAATTTTGACAAATACATCGACAATCCTCTGTAATGGTCAAGACACAGCAGTATCATACAGAATCGTTTCGCTGCCCTAAAAATGCTCTGTGACCCCCTTTCCCATTCATCACCCTCCCTTTGAACTACTAATCTTTTGTCTCTATGGTTCGGACTTTCTAGAATGTCATGTAGTTGAAATCATACAATACACTTTTCCAGACTGACTCCTTTCCCATGCATTTCCGTTTCCTGGTACTTTTCATAGTTGAGAGCTTGCATCTATTGTGTGATTATAGGGTGCTCTGGTGGCATAGTCCACTGGGAGTTCTGCTATTAGATCAAAGGCCTCACATTTCTGGTGAACTGAATCCACTAGCTGATCCAAGTGAGAAAAATAGGCAATCTTCTCCCACGTGGTTTATGGCCTCTGAAACCCAATGGATGGTCAGCTTTGAATTGGTTCCAACTTGATGGCAATGAATTTGGGTTTTCTAAGCATCGATATACTTCAGTTTGTCTCTTCATTCCTTTATTAAAGGATTTCTTGGTTTCAGTTTTTAGCAATTCTTAATAAAGTTGATATAAATGTTTGTGTGAGGCTTTTTATGTGTATATATGTATCCAACTTCATTGGATAAGTACCCAGAAATAGCACTGCTGGCTTGTATAATTAGCTTGTGCTTAGCTGTGTATGAATGTCAGGCTTTTTTCCAAAGTGGATGGACTATTTTGTATCCCTACCAACAATGACTGAACGTTACTGTTATTCTACAATGTTTGCCAGCCTTGTTGTTACCTGTGTTCTGAATTTTAGCTACTCTAACATATTTGTAGTGGTATATCTCTTTTTTGCTCTCATTTTTAAATTTGCAATTCCAATGATATATCTTCAGTAGAATTTTGCTTGCATGTGACATTAATAATATTGTCTGATAATTTCCATCTTCTGTTGGATCACCTTTTTTGGGAATAGGAGCACAAACACTCATCTCTTCCAGTCAGTTGCCCAGGTAGCTCACTTCCAAACTTCCTGACAGAAACATATTAACACATCCAGAGCTGCATCTGTTAGTTGAAATATGTCACTTGGTATTCCATGAATTCCTGGGGCCTTATTTTTTTTGCTAATCCCTTCAGTGCAACTTGAACTTCAATGATAATTCTTCATTATCATTAGCTCTTGCTCATATGGTACTTCTTGAAATTGTTCAGTGTCAAATAATTCTTTATGGTACATCAATCCTGTATATTCTATCTTCTTTTGATGCTTTCTACATCATTCAAGAATGTGCCCATAGCATTTTTCAGTATTGCCACTAAAAGCTTGTTTTTTAGTTCTTTCAGCTTGAGAAATGCCGAGCCAGTTCTTCTTTTTCTTTTTTTATTCTATTCTTTTTAAATCTCTGCCTTCAACTCTTTGCACGTTTAATGAGAATATTTTGCTTTATTTTCTAGAGCTGCCCTCTGAAATCTTTTGTTCAACTCTTTGACTTCGGCATCTCTTCCTTTTGTTTTGGCTTCTCAATCCTCTAATGCAATTTTCATAGTCTCTTTTGATATCCATTTTGTTTTCTTCTTTCTCTACTTTGTAATCACCTTTTGCTCTCTTCATGGGTATCTTTGATGTCCTCTCACAGTACTTCTGACTTTTGATCATTGCTGTTTAATGCGTCAAACATGATCTTGAGATGATTTTTAAGTTCTCTTTAGCTCATCATCATATTCCCTGCTCCCAAGAAGTCACAGCCATGAAGGTTGAGCTGTGCAGTTTCAGAGGGTTCACGATCTACCCCGGGCATGGGAGGCCCAAGCCTGAACCATGGGATAGTGTTCCAGTTTCTTAATGCAAAATTCAAGTCAGCATTCCTTTCCAAAATGAATTCAAGGCAAATAAATTAGACTGTCCCACACAGAAGAAAGCCAAAAGAGGGCCAATCAGAAGAAATTAAAAAGGCAAGAACCTGCAATCAAAAGTCTGAAGAACTTAGAGAAGTCCAAGGAGGACAGGCTATCAGGGCTGCCAAGGAAGCAAACATGGCTGAACAAGCATCTAAAAAGACCACAAAGGCTGCTACTAAGGCGCCTACCAAAGGAGCGCCTGAGCAAAAACATGAAGCCTGTGAGAGTCTCTGCTCCCCAAGTTGGTGGAAAACTCTAAGTTAGCAGATGAGACTTAAATATTCAATTAAAAAAAATTCTCTTTAGCACTTTCGGGTGGGGGTGGGGGGTCCTTGACAGCCGATTTTCCCAATGCAACACATGTTTTGATTTTTTGATTATTTGAACCAGGGGTATTGACAACTTTCATTTTTTTACCATCTATCATGATGTTGCCTATTGATCCAGTGGTGAGGATTTTTTCTTTCTTGATGTTGAGATGGGATCTATAGCTGTCTTGAAATATTCCCTTTGCATTTCTGATTTTCATTATGGAGACAAGATAGAAATTCCTCCTTCAGGTAGTCTTGTCCTACCACTGGTCTCCAGAAATTATTAAATTTCTCTTTGATGCTCTTTATTAGCCTGCATTTCTTTCCAGTCATTTCTGCTCAATCTAAGAAACTTAGCAGTGTTCAGTTTTAGCATCAAGCTAATCACTCCCTCATGGAACATGTAGTACTCATTCATTGAAATGAACCAAACGCAGCACTTATATACCGGTATATAAGAAATGTTACCAACATAATAGTGAAAGAAACAAAACAAAAAATGGAATATGTAATATGATTCCATTTTAGGTTCAAGAACATGTTAAACCATGCTGTTTGTGGTTAACAACGGACAGGTTTTAAATATATTTAAAGAATAAGGAAACTCTTTTCCTAAAAATTAGGATTATATTAGGGGACAGATAAAGACATGTGACTGAAAAAAGACATTAAAGGCTTCTGGGATGCTTCCTGTGTGCTTTCTTGACATAAATGATGTTGGCTTTGTAGTTATTGAACTGAACATTCATGCTTTATGCACATTTTACTTCTCAAAAGAAAATGTTCTAAATGGAGAAAAGTGTCAAATTGCTTCACTTGTAGCATATTTTCAGTGAGGCTTCCATAGTAAGGTTTCGGAAAAGTGAATAGGGAAAGTGAAGGGAAATGTTGATTATTCTAATTTAGGAATCATAACAAGAAAACTTTGGACGAAAACTGAGAAGCTACTATCCCTAAATTAAATACAAAATAGACTATCTTGGTGACACCATTGCCCAGGTTGCATAGTGCTATATAGCAAATAGTTGTAGCTTGTATTTTGAGTCAAAAATAACTTTTCTATTTTCCAGGATTCTCAGTGATAATTTTCTGACTGAGTTACATAAGAAGTCATTTGAAGGACTGTACTTTCTCCGATATTTGTAAGTTAGCCAGATAGTTCTATTTATTTCTGAGCTTTTACTCAAATATGATATGAATAAGGTACTTGGGATGAAGAATATACAAATTTGGACCATTCTGGTTTTCCCTACACATTTCTGATTTTAATAATGGGGACAAGATAGAAATTCATCCTTGTCTTATAGAGGAAAACTTTGATAATCAGATATGAGTATTTACAGACACTCATATGAACTTTGTAGTATAACTGTTCAAAACCATCTATTTTTATTTAGAATACAACACATAATGTGTTTTTATAGAGTTCATGCACTGAGAATGATTTATGTATTTTCAGCATACAGCCCATAATGTGTTACTATAGAGTTCATGCACTGAGAATGATTTTTATATTTCCAAAAAGTCTTAAAAGACGACTGTGCAACAGAAGGTCTCTGTGGCTATCTAGCTTTACAGAAAACAGTTGAAGAAATGGGTTTATTAGAACAAGAAAAAGTTTAACCTCTGTCTATTGTCTGTAAAAAAGGGCAAGGGCCATGTGGGAATGGTTATATGTGACCTTTATCAACTTTACAAAGGGGAAATGTTGCAATTAAAAACATCAACAATACAAAATCAACTTTCAGTCCAAAAAGGGGGCTCTGATGGGTACCAATCTTATCAGGCCTTAGAAGGTAAACTGCTTGTTCCAGCCTTAAAAAGTCAGTCTATTTTTTCCCCCTCTTTCTTTTCTTTCAAATGTACATCTATTCAATCAAAAGTCCAACAAAGATCTAGAAATCTGTTAAAATGCAAATGTCCTCAGAATACTAGATGTGGCATAATTATAGCCAAGCTAAGCCCCATGGCTTCATGTTGTACTGTTTTCAACAAGCATTTCTCTAGGGCAAATCCTTTCCTTTTATTATATCCACTCAGTCTCAAGGAAGACTTGAATGCTTTCAGGACACACACTATCTGGTCAAATTTAATATCATACATCTTAACATTAAATCAATCAAAACCTCAATTAATTCTACAATATATCTTTTCATTGCTGTTGTTGCGACTCATAGCGACCCTATGTACAACAGCCCTAAACTCCGCTCTGTCCTGTGCCAATCGCACTGTCTCTGACACTCCCATCCCAATTATCCCA